CTGTGTGCTTTCTTCAATGGAGTCCAGGTGGTCTTGTATGTTAGTCCCGGACTAAAGATGAAATAAATGAAAAATTAAAACCAGCTCTCCAATTGACGCTCTCTACATTAGTTTTTCACAATATAATTAGCCCAACAGACATTGCTTTTAGGCAGACTACAGGTAATGACAGTAAAGACCAAATTTACCTTTTTGAAGATGATGAGGTGTTTTTCTGCTTGAGATGCGGACATTTTTCCAGGTCTCTTTCTGCCTTGTGGTGAAGGTGGGATCAAATGAAGTAAAAGAAGAATAGAAGCAATGTCACTGTTCCATCCTGGAAAAAAAAACTGAAATGGCAACATCAGAAAAAAAATACATGGAGAAGTCTAAACAATCTTATTCTGAACTCTGACAGTCTAACCTGCATCCCCCATTTCATTCTCCTTCACAGTCATTTCAGCACAGTCAATCAGGTCCTGAAGGGCTTGGGAGGAGTTAAGACTTTTGCTTTGCTGAATAACTTTGAGCATGAATGTAGTTGGCCACAAGTCCTGTTCAATCTGCAAAAACATCATAAACAACAAACACTTGTGTAAATCATTTACTTCAGAAAGAATATTCAAAATTTGATATAAGTTAAGTTGACAGCATTTGTGGAATTATTTCCCACAAAAATAAATTTTGGCGTGTCCCTCATTCTTTAATACAAACACAATAAAAATGTTTTAAACAACTTTACAGCTCAATTAACGTGTTTTAACAGAAGAATTCATGTAAGGCCTTTGGAAAAATTATATAATTGTATTATAATTACATTTCTGCCCTTAAAGCTCAGAAATGTGTGACTATGCACATCCATTGTAGTTTTTTATTTCTTTGTAAATGGTAATGAACTATATTCCACAAATGTTGTCAATTGAGCTGAACTTGCATTAAACCTAGAATATTTGTTTAACCCCAACCCAATGACCGGGTTAAAGAAATTCTCTTATCACCAGATAGACATGTTCTCTCACCAGGCCTTGAACATCCAAGAAGCGTGGAAATTCCGTCAACACATCAGTGCTTCTGCTCGGGTCTTGAATCATCTTGCGACGGTACTGAAATGTCTCCTTCATTTTGATCTTGATGGTGTCCACTTCTGAGGTGTGTTTCATTAGTGAGGCCAGCGGGGGGTGCTCACCCTGTGGTCTGTGTGGTTCCGAACGCCCCAGTATAGTGATACTATACTGTCAAAAAGCACCGTCTTTCGGATGAGACGTTAAACCGAGGTCCTGACTCTCTGTGGTCATTAAAAATCCCATGGCACTTCTCGTAAAGAGTAGGGGTGTAACCCCGGTGTCCTGGCCAAATTGCCCCCCTGGCCTTTGTCAATCATGGCCTCCTAATAATCCCCAACCACTTGATTGGCTCTATGACTCTCTCTCCTCTCCACCTGTAGCTGGTGTGTGCTGAGCGCACTGGCGCCGTTGTTCTGTGGCTGCGCATGCATCATCCAAGTGGATGCTGCACACTGGTGGTGGTTGAGGAGAGACCCCCCCACATGATTGTAAAGCGCTTTGGGCGTACAACAATACACAATAAAGCGCTATATAAATGCATCATTCATTCATTCATTCATTCATTAATTAGAGAAACTGCTTCTCTACACTGTTCTTCAGTGAGGATAACATCTGTGCTGGATGCAGCCTCTCTTTCTGAAGTCGGGCCACCGCTGAAAGACTGTGAGGAACGTCTACAGTTCTCTGATGATGTTCTCTACAGTTCTGTTTCTCTGAATGTTCTTTATTTTCCAAGTCAAGTAAACTTGTCCACTTTGAGGGTCATAATAATGTTCCTTTAAAACAAACACATCTTAAGTAATGCAAAGGTGACCAACTAACCCCATAACTAGATTTGAACAAAAATGATTTGCATTTACATATCCATTCTTTGTGTAGGGATCACCAAGATATGGAAACACGGCAACGATTCCTTGGGCATACATTTCCCTAATATTTCTGGGTGGAAATGTGCTGTCAAAATAAAACAATGAAATATGAATTTAAGTATGTCTGCAAGTATGTCTGTTTATTAGTTACTCTAGTATTCTGCGGTGGTATTGAGAATTGTGAAATTTCTAAATGTCTCTAAAATGTAGATGTCATAGCAACCTTATTTACAGAAAATATATATATGTGATATACAGTATCACACAGAAATGAGTACACCCCTCACATTTTTGTAAATATTTTATTATATCTTTTCATGTGACAACACTGAAGAAATTACACTTCTGTGTGTTGAGTTATTTTGAGGGGACAGCAAATTTACACTGTTATACAAGCTGTACACTCACTACTTTACATTGTAGCAAAGTGTCATTTCTTCAGTGTTGTCACATGAAAAGATATAATAAAATATTTACAAAAATGTGAGGGGTGTACTCACTTCTGTGAGATACTGTATATCACTATCTTTAAATAAATCACTCATATAAAGTTTTGGTCAAGTGGCCCACTCATAATCGTGTTAAATAATATTGAGATTACAATATTGACCAAAATAATTGTGATGATTTTTGCCATAATCAAGCCGCCGTAATTAATGTTCAGTTTCTTGCACAGACTGATTTTTTAACTTCATAAGACCTCAGATGTATCATCATGAGCCATGGGTATTAATTTAGTGTTGCCTGTTATGATTTTTTTGACTCTCAAAGGAATGGTAAGCATTGACTTGCATTATCTAAGCCTCCAAGGACCACAGTTTCTGCTAAAAATCTTCTTTATTGTTTTTCTTTAAGAAGCTGACAGAGATCAGTGCCCGTATTCACAAAACATTTTATCTTACCACAAAGAGTTCTCCTAAATAGCAGTAAATAGCTGTTTTTTTCGGGCCTGTCTCTTTAAAGGCAAATGAGCTGCTGCGAGCTGCCATTACAGCTCGGACCTGCTAAAGACATCTGTTTTGGTTCTGATTATCATGTTTATCGCACTGAAATCATGCGTTTTAAATCATATGAGTTTAAACTTCTGATATACGGTTTTCTGAGCGCACACATCCGAAGCACATGCACAGAAAGCGGCTGTCACAGCATGTGAGTACTAAACTAAGTTTTCATTCACACACAAGTTTACGTTAAAAACACACATGAGTTACAAAAAAGTCAGTTATGTCTGTGTAAACAGCTGGGAAATAAATTGCATGTTTATTTTAGATATGTGTGGCAGCAGCAATATACAGTAAATAAATTAATAAATCCACTGCTCTGTTGTCTCCTCTGAGGCTGGGACTGTAAACAGTGTTCTGTGCTCGTCTGTGCAGCCAAAGGCAGAACAGTTAGCATGTTTTGCTCAAACTTTCGCCATGGCATTAGAGCTGGTACACCGTTGTCGCTTGCAAAATCAAATGACGGCGCCGTAGGTTTGTGAAATTCTCTTAGAGCAAAAATTTAGGAGTCGAAAATTTCTCCTAAATCGACGAGTTATGAGCTACTTTTTGCCTTAAGATGTTTTGTGAATACGGGCCCAGATCTTCTAAAATTGTCATTTGTGTTCTGTGGGAGAATCATCTGGGACGGCATTAGGTTACCTGTGTTTTTCAGTCATATCTGCAGTAAGAATCTTGATCATCTTTCTCCTGGTGCTGTTAGTCAAGCTTTTAGTTTTGTTGTATTCCCTGATGATTGCGTCTCCACCAGGTTTAGTCTTTAGGCAGGATTTTTTGGACCAGCTGCAAAGAGTTACATAATACAATCATTGACAAACCATATCCCTCTCAGGAACCATTCTGTTAACATGACTCTGTGGTTACACAGTGCCCCTGTTTACATATTAACATGAGTACTGTGATCTGCTCACAAGTGGACAGGTCTGAATGTAGGGCTGCACGATATATCGTTTCAGCAGCGATATCGCGATTTGCGTATCTGCGATAGTCACATTGCAGGATGTGCGATGTTTAGTATACTGATCGTTATATTTTTACTGATTGTTTTCTTTGCTCACACACAGACACGGTGTCTACACCGGACGCGACAGCTGTACAGAGATACCCATTTTAAATACATTTAGTAGCAGAGCTACTGCAAGGGATTTTCAGTGCTGGAAATCCATTTATCCTTTGTTGAAACTTCCACGTTGTCGAGGAGAGAGCAGTGGGGCGTTACCTTTTCAAAAGGTACACTTTTATGCCTTTTTGGTACAAATATGTACACTTTAGGTACTAATATGTACCTTTAAGGTGCCAATATGGACCCTTTAAGTACAAAAGTGTACCTTTTGAAAAGGTACCGCCCCAGTGACAGATTTTGTACCTTTATTTCTGAGAGTGAAGGACACTGTAAAATAAAGTGTAACCCAAATATGCAGCTGGACATTTATATATGTAAACTTATGCTTTTACAGGTGGGCTGAGGAAGAACACTACGATTAATGATGTGAAGCAGAAAGAGGCAGAAAAGGCTGAAGTGGTTTACTGGGACTACAGACGGGTGGAAAGAGATTAGAGAACAGCACGAGAAAGACCGTCTCCAGGAGTGTTATCAGTTTGTGTTGTTGTTTTTTTGTGTGTGTGTGTTTCTAAATTGTATAGTTTTTGAGACAGAACATATTTTAATATTATACTGTAAGTTCAGGTGAGTTTGTTGTTTTTGTGTTTCTTCATTGTGTCAGTGTGTCACATTTAGAAGAGCACTGATGTTTCTTAAAGGGATAGTTCACCCAAATATGAATAATCTGTGATCATTTACTCTCCCATTTACTCCTTTTACTTGTTCCAAATCCATAAGACTTTCATTCATCTCTGGAACACAAATGAAGATATTTTTAGTGAAATCGGAGAGATTTCTTACCCTCCATTAATTAGGGTTGCAGCTGAACACTGCAGGGCTGCAGCTCTCCAGGACCGGAGTTCGCCACCCCTGGTCTATTCCCAAATCTTCATTCAAAAGATCATACAATAAATCCATTTGAATCGAGCTGTTTAATCTAAGTCTTCTGAAGAGACAGTCACTTTATATGAACAGATATAATTTATGCTTTTGTGCACATATAAACACTGATCAGCGGACAATGATTACAGCATTCAGTTTTAATAAACGGAAAGTCAAGCCTGCTTGCTTGACGCGAGAGAAGTTTGTTCTCGTGCAAGTACCGTTGCACTTCTTTATATTCACTTATCAATGTTTATATGTGAATAAAAGCTGAATTTAAATCTGTTTACCATGTAATGTGATCATGTCTCTTCAGAAGACTTGTATTAAACCCCTCGATTCTTATGGATTTATTTTACAATCTCTTTATGAATGTTTTGAAGCATCAGAGTTTTGGGGAAGTAAACTGACAATAAAGCAAAAGAAATCACTCAGATAAAAAAAAAAAAATTTAATTTGTGTTCTGAAAATTAATTGATTTTGGAGTGACATGAGATTGAGCAAATGACAACAGAATTTTCATTTTTGGGGGAATTAAGCCTTTAACTGTTAACTGTCAATTTTTATGTTATGTAAGATTAGTTACATAAGACCATTTGTTAAGATGGTATGACCCTGTTGGTTTATCAAAATGTTAATGTTGATGTTCAACATTTTACAAAAACTTGAAAAGTATAAAAAAATGTGTCAGAAAATGATAATAAAGTATTATCGAACCTGTACAACATTTTAATGTATGATTTTTCTAATTGCACACTTACATGTTTTGTGAGTTTGTAGATTAATAAACAGTGGAATGTTCATGCAGAAAACTGACATTTACCTAACTGAAATACTGATGTTGCTTTTATCAATATATATATATATATAGTAAATAATTATTTATAATTATACTGTCCAGGTGAGATGCCTCAAACAAACCTAATCATAACACGCATATACACTATGTGGGGCCAGTCCAGTACCCATACTGGGCCCTAGTATATCCCACATGTGCTTCATAAGTGGGACCAATATGGGTCTTATATGTGTTGCCCAGTTGGGCCCCACATTAGCCCCAGTCAGGCCCCATATGAGATTCAGATGGGCTAATTCAGATGGGGCCCACATGGAACCCATGATAGAATGTTGCCTGGGTAGGTGTCAAATTTGATGGGCATCTTTTAGATTTTTAATATTTAGAAAAAATTACGGTCAAATCGTGTGTAAAGGGCTATTTTTCACTACTGAAAGGGCTCAAAC